TTAGAACAAAAAATGTAGCAAATTTTATTCTAAACAACATTCTTCACTTTCACTTATGCTGTCAGATGCATAGATATCGAGTAAAATACGAAAATATTAAATTTAGATGAATTTACTAGCTGCTAATGGTAGATTTAGGGATTCGGACATATTACAGAAAAACTTTTAGAACAAAAGTTGTAGCAAATTTTATTCTAAACAATATTCTTCTCTTTCTCTTATGCTCTCAGATTTATAGATATCGAGTAAAACACGAAAATATTAAATTTAGATGAATTTGCTAGTTGCTAATGGTAGAATCAGGGATTCGGACACATTACAGAAAAACTTTTAGAATAAAAGTTGTAGCAAATTTTATTCTAAACAATATTCTTCTCTTTCTCTTATGCTCTCAGATTTATAGATATCGAGTAAAACACGAAAATATTAAATTTAGATGAATTTGCTAGTTGCTAATGGTAGAATCAGGGATTCGGACACATTACAGAAAAACTTTTAGAATAAAAGTTGTAGCAAATTTTATTCTAAACAATATTCTTCTCTTTCTCTTATGCTCTCAGATTTATAGATATCGAGTAAAATACGAAAATATTAAATTTAGATGAATTTACTAGTTGCTAATGGTAGAATCAGGGATTCGGACACATTACAGAAAAACTTTTAGAATAAAAGTTGTAGCAAATTTTATTCTAAACAATATTCTTCTCTTTCTCTTATGCTCTCAGATTTATAGATATCGAGTAAAATACGAAAATATTAAATTTAGATGAATTTACTAGTTACTAATGGTAGATTTATGGATTCGGACATATTACAGAAAAACTTTTAGAACGAAAGGTGTAGTAAATTTTATTCTAAACAATATCCTTCTCTTTCACTTATGCTCTCAGATTTATGGATATCGAGTAAAATACGAAAATATTAAATTTAGATGAATTTACTAGTTGCTAATGGTAGAATTAGGAATTCAGACGTATTACAGAAAAACTTTTAGAACAAAAGTTGTAGCAAATTTAATTCTAAACAACATTCTTCTCTTTCACTTATGCTCTCATATGCATAAATATCGAGAAAAATACGAAAATATTAAAATTGAATAAATTTACTAATTGCTAATTGTAGAATTAGGAATTCGGACATATTACAGAAAAACTTTTAGAACAAAAAATGTTGCAAATTTTATTCTAAACAACATTCTTGTGTTTCTCTTATGCTCTCAGATTTATAAATATCGAGAAAAAGACGAAAATATTAAAATTATATAAATTTACTAGTTCCTAATGGTAGAATTTGGGATTCGGACATATTACAGAAAAGCTTTTAAAACAAAAGGTGTACCAAATTTTATTCTAAAAAATATTTTCCACAAGAAACTTTCGAATAACATTTTATTTTATAAATAATAATCTTTTTAACAGGATGTAAAGTAATACGTTCCAACTCACGAAACAAACACAATCCCTTTGTGTCTTTGTGTTTTCGTTGTAATTTAAGTAACGATATCACGAGGAACCTGATACACCCTAGAACTAATTCAGATTGTTTTGAAGTAAAGTGACGGACTGAGAGGAAATACCACTTTACTGGAAACCAGGATGTCACTCTAGCGTTTTTGCTAAGAAGAAGGAGCTCAAAGGCAACGAGCGGCTTAAATTATAAGCCGGACAAATCCGATTATATCGTTACATAAACCCATCCCGCGATATACAGGGCGTGTATCTAGCACCGCGGGATTTGCAAGCTGAAGCGGGAGATTAGAGGCGTTTTGTTTGAACGGGCTAATTACTGGACTCGCTTAATGCCCCTCCGTACATATTGCCCGTCCCTTTGAATAAATCGAGACACAAAACCCGACCCGCAATACAAATTCTCGACGGCAATAAGATGCAACATCAGCCGTGGGACGTGCACATTGTCGACTTGAAATTTAATAACAACGCGAATCCCAAGCGCAATAACGCGCCAAGCGAAGAAATAGAATACTTTGCGCTCGGCGTAGGAATCTTAAGCATCTAAAATTGTATACGAAAACGTTTCCTCCAATAATCTTGTTACTAGACAAGCAACAATTGGAACTATGAAAATTAATCACCAATAAATTTTCATTGTGGAGCACACCGTGGGGTTTTCCTACAAGAAGGAATAAGAACAGTCGTAACGAGCGCAAACACGTACAAACATCGACCGAGTTTATTAAGTTTTAATTCGGAGAGGCGGTGGCTTTGCGGTTGGTGTGGCAGATTATACCTTTGAATCATTAAAAAGCCGGTGGGTTCTGCCCCCGGATTTGTGGGGGCGGAAAAACTCAGTTATTGATTAGTACCGAAGTACCAGAACTAACGGCTTATTGAACCGGAAAGATAAAGACCCCTGACAATGATTAACTCTAAATTGACACGACAAAAAATGGTTCAACTAAACTTGAGTCATCCGAGATGTATCTTTACTTATTTATAAATATACTTGATTCCAATTTAAATTAAAATTAAGTAATGACTAATTAACCTTCTGAATCCGTAAAAGTTCCCTTCTGTTCGGGAACCTAACGAGTACTAATTTATTAAAACACTTATTAAACGATAAATCTTTGTGGTGCCAAGAATAAGGTAGAGAGCAAAAGAAACGCCTGGTAGGAGTCAGACGAATCCTGGTTTAATATAAATTTCACCCTCGCTCCGGTCCTCAAAAATAATTGTCCCTCTCGACTTATTAAATTCATTTACTCACGTAAACGTAAAGTCGTTGACGGAATCATAAACCTGGGAAAGGCGTACGTTCTCGCTCTCTTTTGGCTAATTTGCAATTAGAATTCTCCTACAATTCCCCCCGTTAAGATTAATCTAACACATTCACTACTCATTTTTTTATTCCGCTTTTCTAATCCATCTGTAACTGGTTCGATAAAACATTAAACCTTCAATAGCAGCACATATCTATGGTGTTACATTTACATCTGTTGTTTTGTATTTAAGTATGATAATTTGCTTTACTCTATGCTCTTTTGCTTCTGTACATTCAATTTTGTTTCTACTAGTGGTGATATTAAAATCTATTACTTAGTACTCCCCAACTCAGGAATTAGTATCTCGTTTAGGTGTTGGACACTGCAGATCATAAGATAATTAGATAATTTTCAAAATTCGCTATAAAATTAATTTTTTGAAGGATCCTTGTGGAAATATCACCAATTATTAATTTAAGTATCCTCTTTTTAATGCAACAAGCCGTTTTAAAAAATCGCTTTTAGTTTTTGAGAAATACATTTTTGAAATCGACTATTTTTTCGAATTTTACAATTTTCGCCGATTAAGTTTAAAAATTTGTAAAAAATCCACTTCTTGGAATATGAATATGAAAAATTCCCAAAGTGTTAATAAAAGTGTCCTCTTTTCAACGAACCAACACGTTTTAAAAAATAACCTTTAATTTTTGAGAAATCAATATTTGAAGTTTTGATAAAATTTTCGATGTTGCAATTTTCATCGATAATTTTCAAAATTCGCTATAAAATTGATTTCTTGAAGGATCCTTGTAGAAATATCACCAATTATTAATTAAAGTATCCTCTTTTCAATGCAACAAGCCGTTTTAAAAAATCCCTTTTAGTTTTTGAGAAATACATTTTTGAAATGATCGACTATTTTTTCGAATTTTGCAATTTTCGCCGATTAAGTTTTAAAAATTTGTAAAAAATCCACTTCTTGGAATATGAATATGAAAAATTCCCAAAGTGTTAATGAAAGTGTCCTCTTTCCAATGAACCAACCCGTTTTGAGAAATAACCTTTAATTTTTGAGATATCAGTATTTGACGTTTTGATAAAATTTTCGATGTTGCAATTTTCATCGATAATTTTCAAAATTCGCTATAAAATTAATTTCTTGAAGGATCCTTGTGGAAATAGCACCAATTATTAATTAAAGTATCCTCTTTTTAATGCAACAAGCCGTTTTAAAACATCGCTTTTAGTTTTTGAGAAATACATTTTTGAAATGATCGACTATTTTTTCGAATTTTGCAGTTTTCGCCGATTAAGTTTTAAAAATTTGTATAAAATCCACTTCTTGGGATATGAATATGAAAAATTCCCAAAGTGTTAATAAAAGTGTCCTCTTTCCAATGAACCAGCCCGTTTTGAAAAATAACCTTTAATTTTTGAGATATCAGTATTTGACGTTTTGATAAAATTTTCGATGTTGCAATTTTCAAAATTCGCTATAAAATTAATTTCTTGAAGGATCCTTGTGGAAATATCACTAATTATTAATTAAAGTATCCTCTTTTTAATGCAACAAACCGTTTTAGAAAATTACTTTCAGTTCTGGAGAAAAAAATTTTTTAAATAATGGACAATTTTTTCGAATTTTACAATTATCGCCGATGAAGTTTTAAAAATTTGTACAATATCCATTTCTTCGAATATGAGTTTGAAAATGTCCTAAAGTGTTAATAAAAGTGTCCTCTTTTCAACGAACTAACACGTTTTGAAAAATTAGTTGTTTTGAGTTGTTTCGTTAGTTAAATCAGCATCAAAAAAGTTGATTATGTATCATGGATCCAAATAAGTTGACATATATTATCAGCTTTCTTATTAATTTAATTTTTTTTCAAATATCCAATAATGTGACAATGTAGGGTATCACTTCAGAAATGTACCAGAAATTATAACCATAATGGCCAGATATCTGGCTTTTCGCAGAATCACTATCCGTTCCATCACTAATAACGACACTTGGAGTCTCCAAGACTAATACGCTTGTTCTGGTTGCTACCCAGAAACTAAAAAGGACTTATTTGATTGGATGTCGTCTCCTGGAATGTCAACTTCATGATTGTAGTGCTCCAGATACAAAAATGTCTAAAATCTAATGAAAATGAAGCCGTTATTCAGCAATTCCTGAGAAGAGTTCCGTCATTCACTTAAAAAACATAAGATTAAAATAATCAACTCATCTATATCAAACTATCATAAGATAATTGTCAAAAAAAGTGTCATAATCATGTTTTGTCATTTTATGTTACTATTATTAATCGCATGTACTATTTCGATTCAATCCACAAACATAACAGATAATTCCGATGATAATGACGAAGAAGAAGAAGAGGAAAATTCGATTCTTTCAAGCACCATATTAACCCTATCTGAACGAGTTGTTAGTGGTTCTAATTGCACAATAGATGAGTATTCTCATTTGGCATCGATATCATTTCAAAAAGATAATGTTCAATACTGCGGTGGATCTTTAATTGATCACCATTGGGTTTTAACTGCTGGGCATTGTTGCGAAGAGATGAAACCTAAATTTTTACACCTTTTTATGGTACATTTCGGGCAAAGTACTTGGTTGGAAGATGTCGAGCAATCTAGCCCGATCGATATGGTTTATAACCATCCTAATTATAACCCAGAAGATCTCGAGAACGACATTTGTTTGTTAAAATTGAAACATCCTATTAAAACGGGCAGAAAGGTATCGATATCTATGCCGGTAGGAACGAATGTGTTCGAGGATATGTTGGCAAAGAAAAAATGCTCGAGATCAACGATTGTGGGTTTTGGTCATCAACGAGTTCGCAAAGCTAAACGCAAAGTTGATCCGACGAAAGAAGCGGGGTGGAATGAACATTGTCAATGTGGAATTGTTCAACTTATTGATCGCGATGAATGCACAACATTGTTACAATCGACTAAAGTGCATATGTTGACGGTTTGTGCTCGAGATGCTTCTGGAAAAACACCAATTGCGACGGATGCTTGTCAAGGAGACTCGGGGGGGCCTCTTTTTTGTAATGGATATCAAATTGGAGTTGTATCAACGGGGGTTGGTTGTGGAATGCCCGATACACCAGGTGTGTATACAAGGGTTGATGCTTACACTGAATTCTTAAGAAAAACAATGGGAATACGACCACGTCATGGACTTGATAATAACGACATCATTCAACAAGCTTCTGGTTTATCAGCTTCGATAATAATTGCACCAAGATCATCAGCCGTTAAAATTTCTTTCATCGTACCTTTAATTTTCCTTATAATATTTATGTATTAAAATGAATATAATTTTTAATAAAGCAAAAACATTCCAAATGTTAAAAGCTCCATTACAGTAAAACCATAGTAATATTCAACTAGTCTAATGGTCCTACAAAGAAGCCATTATTTAAAACTACCTTCGCTGCATCGAGCCCAGAAACTAAATATTTAAGGTAGGAAACCGTCACAGTACTTCATGCACTCTCGGAAGTTTCCCCAAGAAATTTCAAGGCTCTTAAGTAGGTAATTATCTCAGGATTTATTATAATTGCGAGCGGTAATATGTAAGTACGTAATAAGAACGAATTACTGAACGTGTAAAGGTCGCCTTTGGAAACTTTAGACTTGAAAGATATAAATGATTCAAAAATAACTTTTTATGTGTATATAAGAAAGAAATTGATGTATGTATTTCAAAGATTGAATAAGTAAAATTGAAAAGTTCAAACAAATGTGACCAAAAGACTGAAACCAACTCATTAAATATTTATGACGTTTAGAGAGCGCTTTGAATTCACTTTAACTTTTGTAAATATTTAAAGCGGTTCGGCAACTTTACAAGGACCCTTCGACCGAAAAGCTGCCTTTATAAGAGGCCTTCTTCTGTACTTAACGTCGAAGTTAGGTACAGAATAGGTGGTTACGTATACCATCCAAAAATATGTGAAAGAGGTCATTTTAGACCCCGAGAATATGAAATATATTCTCCCACCACTAAATGAAAAGCCATGAAAAAAGGGACGCAGCTTATAAATGTAATATTTTGCTTGTCAAATCTTGAAAAAGGAATTCATTTATCATTGAACTCAATTGCGGAAAAAAAGGAAAGGCTACGCCTGTCGATTTCTGATTAAAGATGCAATAAATGGCTGGGTTGGCGTGAAAGAGCAACCTTAATAGGCTCTTAACAACCAGAAGAAGAGAGAACTGGATAGCTGATTGGGTAATTATCCAAATTGCGGTTTCGAAGTAGAACAAGGGTAAAAGGAAGGTTCTCCAACTTGCGGGGGCCATAAATGGAAGATATCGGCACTTTGGAATTCTGCATAATCTCACTGTCGAATAGATTCATAGCGGAAATAGGAGCACAACGTGCGCTCAACAAATCGACAATGGGCAATAGATTACGCATTGTGATCGGCCGTTTAGGAACAAGGGAAACCCACCATTCTACTCCATCAAAATTTACATTCACCCCGAGTATTACAGTACTATTTCATATTAATACCAATATATCGTCAAGCTCGCTTTGTATTAGATTTTAATTCGCGTATTGGTAAAATAATTCAAGCGAAGTTTCAGGTAGTCATGTTGGAAATTACAAACCATAATATGGAATGGTGTGGTGATGGTAATAATAGGAAATTACAAGCGTGGTACACCTTGTAATATCCGGAGGGGTTCATCCAAAGATAGGAGGGTTGCGAAAAGTCAACGCCCTCGACAAATTACTTTCAATTAACGTCTGAAATGAAATGCAAAAGTCAAAACGAAATCAAAAATTATTTCTCCCATTCGAGATTAAGTACGTATTCCGAGAAAACAATATTAGTTTAGGATGACCTATTAAACCAGTCATGCTTATTTAATAGAAATTATGACGGTTTTGGGAGGAAATTTAATTGATCAATATTGGACGATCACAACTCGTTCTTGCATGAATTCTGATTATCAATGTTCGTAGACCAATTATTAATGCAATTATTATCTGTATTGAAACCCCCTTATTGCTCAATGGTGATTTGTTTGTTTCTAGTTAGATGATCAAGTTATGTGAATGTAAATCATTTGAAAATTGCATTTAAAAACAAATTTAAAAACAACACCAGAGAAAAGTTTTGCAAAAATTGCAAAATTCGAAAAAATTGTCGATTATTTTAAAAGTTTATTTCTCAAGAACTAAAAGTGATTTTTCAAAACGGCTTTTTGCATTAAAAAGAGGATACTTTACATAATAAATGATGGCCAATTCCAAATCGACAGAAAAGGCGAAACAGTTTTAGGCTCCTAAAACAGAACTGTCAGGAGCAAAATTAGTACCGATTGACATTGACTGCAATGTCTGCAGTGAATAACATGTTGGTTTGCTGAACGAGTAAGTCTGCAAACCAGCCTCAAATTCAGAAACAACCTATTAATCAGAAACTGGTGCAGCGTCGAAAACCTCATTCAAGTTTTCAAAAAGGATATCAAAAGGAAGCAATCACCACTCCATACATAGAACCCAAGAAGATGAAAACTTGTTAGCTTGGTCATAGCAAGTTAATTGGAAGAAAACTATCGAGTTACTAATAACACTGTCTGAGCTGATTACTTATACCACAACTGGACAAATTCCAGAATAGCTGAAAACCGTGTTTTGGAATACCAATAATCTAAAGTATGGCGTTCTGAATTTCATGGTATATCTGACAGATCATATAACCGATCACGAAAGAGGAGTAGCAATGGTCAAGATTTCAAACAATCGCTGATTCACCAACTTATCTCTAGCCATGATCTAATCATGATTTTCGCCAACAGATGAACACTTATCCAAGCCAAAAACTTGATCAGCAAATATCCTAATTGGACTTCAGATCCTTTAGTCCATATAATGAACTAAAAAATCTTTCAACACATTTTGGCAAAAATTTTATTAGTTACTTTATTATTTAAGTCACAATTTTTAACATTCCAATTTATTGGTTTTAGACTTTACTAGTGTATCGATTAGGTAGATAAAGAGAAGTTTGTAAACATAAATTAGGTTCGTAATAGATTACGTGTAGTTTCAGGGAATCTCGTTAGCATGTTGGAATGGTGTAGAACCCACATTAATTAAAATCCATGTAGGGCGCTTCGATTTTTAAAGCCGATTACAAGCGCACGTTGCCGCTGGAGATTATTAGTGCGTCGCTACAGGTATTGACTGTACTTCTGTCTGTGTTGTACACCTCCAACGTCGGATGGGGAGAGAATTTCATTGTGAAAATCGCTGGTAAAGAGGAAGTGTCAAATAACGTAATTTTCTCGCATCCAAGCGAATTTTTCTTTCCTACATTTTTCTCCACAAAGACATTAATCCTCCAAATTACTCCCACTTTATCTTTTAAAACACTATCATCCGAAATGTAATGGAAATTGCTCTAAGTACTCGAGTAAATAAAGGGGTGTAATGGTTGATTAGGGAAAAAATGTTTAGTTGTGATGGTCCATTTGATTTGAAATATGTTTCTCGTGCTGCCCAGCGATAAATCACATCAGCAGAAACGCGATTTGCATTTCTGGCAGTACACAAATCGCCGTTCCGCTTCTATGACGACCTCTTAGCAACACGTGGCCCGGAATAACGGTATTTAGTCATGCGCTAACAAAAGACAAATCGTGACAAGGTGCCAGGAACCTACAGCAGGACGTTAATGAAGATTTATTGCTTTCATAAAAATACGGGATATAATCGTAGTAGAATCTTTTCGTTTTAAAACGTTCTTGTCATGTCAACTGACAACAATTAATAATTGTCAAAGAAAACTGGGTTTCCTCTTATTTTTTGGTTACCAACCTGGTATTGACAAAACTTACATGGACATGCGTAATACGTTATTTTATATTTAACTAGTAGTATGGAAAATAATCGCAACTCCTCAAATGTATCTCTCAAATCTTCATCTCCATCTGTATCTGAATCTCGTTGTTCAAGAACTATACGATCAAGCAAATATGAACATAATGATCCATCGCAACGATTATGGTGGACTAATACCTTTAAAAGATTGGAGGATGAAGTATCAATTGTAAGTAACAAAGCAAATTAATTTATTAAAATAAAAAAGATATAAAAATAGATGCCGTATGAGAGAGAAGATGTCATCGACGAAATGTTTCCCGAAATTAGCCCAAGATTAAAAAACATCTTAACATTTCAAAAAGTATCTAAAGATTTACCATGTTACTCGATAAAAGGTCCCAAAAGGAAAATTCGCCGCAAAACCTCAACGATTTTAGATACAGCTAGATATGGTTCTAAAGAATCTTTAATGACCGATTACAATGAATATCCCGAAAACACTCGAATGTAAGTAAAAAGAAATCATCAAACAAACTAAATAAAAACCATAATCACAGAAATTCAGCCCCCGCGAATAATCCTTATCGAAAATTTTTTAAAACCAAAATTGAACGCGCAAGAATTTGGAGAGAAATACCACCTTTACGATTAGACGAAATGAATTTAATTCAAAAAGCAGATGCAATAACCGAAAGCGTAAATTAATTTCATCATTTTAACCATATATTCTAATAAAATTATGATTTTAGATAGCTCGAAATTTCCATAATTGGTTAAAATCGTTAAGCGAAGAAGGAACTTCTAGTTTAGATAAAGAAACCATTATGAGCATGTTTCAAATTGGTTTTAATTATCACGCCGCTAATTCGGTTTATATAAAAGTTAAAGAAATGCCTGCCGTTACTGATACCATTGCGATATCAAGAGATTTACCGGAAGCTTCAGTTAGAGCTAATCTCCACAAACATCTAACACGCGACTTAAAGGCGTATAACACAAAAGAGAAACAATGTGCTTTTGGAACAATGCTTCCTTTAGAATTAAGATCAATGCCACCTAAAGATGATTTCGCCGATAAATGGTTTGGTTGTAAAAGAGTCCCACCAGAACTTGCAAGCATGGAAGCAGTTTGGGGTGGAATTGAACATCTGAGGTGATTAATTTTATGTTAAATTTTTTTTTATTAACTCGTTTTTAATAGATCTACAAGAGCTTTTTGTACGTGGTTGTTAAATCATCCGGATATACCACCTCCGGAGTATCTAGAAGCTAAAGGAATGTTAAATCGGAAATTTTTAAGCAAACCACTTTCTAATGAAGATCTTATGGATGCTGATTCCGGGAAGGATTTATAAAATAAAAACTTAATTAATTTGATATATATTGCGAATAATACCAAGCTATAATCGATCAAATTATCTCAATTATCTCACCTATTATTAGATGACTATCAACATAACTCACACAATATAATATCAATACGGATCGATTATGATATCGAGAACAATAACGGTAATTATAATTAGAGTTAACCGAGTCGAATGTTAACTCGTTATTTTATCGGTAAAAAAAATTATTCACGATAAGCTCCGCTAGTTTTATATAGGGCCCAACTTTTTGGCATTATTTTGAACCCCGGGGCGCTTTGTTCTGGTTGGACAAAAACTGACATCGCGCTATTAATTACCTCCAACTACCGTACAATGTACACGACTGAATTTCACATTTGATACGTGTTTATTTCAGTTGCGTTTGCGGCTTTTTGTCCTTCACCGAGGTACGTTTTACATAAACCAACTTCACTTTTGTCAACATACTCATTCATCGATTATGCATTACTCATTTTCCAATTTCATTGTTTTCGTGAAAATTAGTTGATGTTCAGTAAAAATACATTTTCTGAATAAACAAAGAAACGTTTGTAGCGTGCTTTAACATCGGAATATAAATATAAAGTTTTCATTCGACGCAACATTTATTTGTTTAACAGGAATGCGTAATGAGTTCTGTCAAGTGCACGCTTTATTATTATGCAACTGTAATGCTTACATTCCATTTTAATTCAGCACACTAATTTGGTTTTGATAACGTTAAAGCCATTGTATACATTAATTGGTGTTATGTTTTAGTGTTTATAAACTTCTAATTTGAAACAATTTTAACAATATTAAATGCAACCCCAGAAATAAATTGGTAACTAAAAACCTTATGAAATTCCAAATCTTGCTATATCATGAACTGATTTCGCTACGTGACCTTGATATATTCAGAGATACTCTCCCCAATGCTCTCTCATTTTGTAATCCAATATAGTAAGCATCGGATTATTTAATCGAATACAATTCAATATGTTTGGTATTCGATGACCTAAGTTCTGAACTTTAGACTTAAAGTAATTAAATTCCGAATTGAATTTAGAAATATGATTAAAAAATAAGATGAATAATACGTTTTAAAAAATCATAACAGAAAAATTGCTTAAAAGAGCAGAAATTGCTTCTAGTCGAATTATTTTCTTAAAAAATAGATGCAACTTTGAATATCTACGGCATACACGTGAGTTCCTATTCATTTAAGCCTTTTTAATTATGGCTGAATATGTGAATGTGCATAAACGAAAAATATACAGTGTACGTAAAAATTGCAGAGACGATGCTTTCAAAAAGTTATATCGGTTTGATCGGGAAAATGTTGAGTGGTTAGCAAATTATTTTTTTGACTGAGCAGACAGCAGATGAAAATCTTTCTGCGACAGTTATCCGATACGGGGTTTCAAAATTCTGTAGCTGAAGAACTCGGTATTCATCAGAGTATTGTCTGTAAGACATTTACTTCCGCAAAGAATGTACTTTTGGAAAAAGGTAATATTTTGAAAGTGCTGAAGGTTTTGTAGAAGCTAAACTGTTATGGTCAGAGAGATATTGTTTTCCAATTGCCATCGGTGCGATAAACTGCTCACATGTAACCAACCCAACCCCAGTACTAACGTACAAGTTAACATGTAATGCAAAAGAAATTTTTACTAGCGTAGATTGTCAATGGCCAGGGCCATATACACATTTTCAAAAATTCTAACTTATATAGCATTCTTAAAAACAGTACAGAAAAATCTGTATTAACAGCAAAATTATAATAACATTTTTTGTCGAGAACGTCCCTCGTATAACATATGAGAGAAATCAAACTTGGATAAAACTTGCCAATAATGCAAAACTGTCTTAGGTTGGATAATAAAATTGCAGGTCGCACACCTAGCAGCTCCATCAAGTCACAGTGTTGTGACATATTAAAAATTTCTTTACATTGCTGCACTAACACGTTTAAAACGGCCTCCTTTTCGATTAATTTGAGGAGCCTGTGATTTGTTAAGATTTGCTTATCAATTTCTTCATCACTGTTAAATTCCTCACTTCCACTAGAATCTGCCATGGCACGGAATGTTGTTTAATTAGCGATGTTTAACCCACGGTGTTGTATTAACGTCAACACAGTAGTAAAAGTTGAACTATCTAAATTTGCAGATTGAGACCTATTCGAATAAGCAATTGCTATAGAGATGTAGGAACGGCAGCATTTGCTTAAAAATCTTATTCATGTGATGATTTAGCCATTGCTTTTACTGCTAGCTTTCACTTGTGAAGCAATTGCTTTTCCTAAAAAGCGATTGCTTAAAGCAAAGGGCCAATATCTCAATTTGTTCTTGAGATACAATGTTTTAAATTGTATTTTTATGAACTCAACCTCAAAAAGTTGAATTTAAAAAATCGTATCATTGTTATTTATAGAAACGAAATAATGATTTTTGGCATGCTAAAACTAGATTAAATTTGCTATAAAATAGTTCTTAAATCATCTCGATATCTCAATTAGTTTTTAAGATATGATTCTCTTAAATTTGATATTTATGAACTTAACATGTCAAAATTGAATATGCAGAGATTAACTTAAATAATCTTAACATCGAAATTTATTGGAATGAAGATATGGTTTTTATCTCATTAAATATTAATTAAATTTGCTTTAAAATGGTTTTTATTTCATGATGATATCTCAATTCGTTCTTGAGATAAATATGTTTAAATTTTAGTTTTATCAAGTTAACCTCAAAAATTAGAGTTGAATTAAAAAAATCATATCATTGTGGTTTATAGAAACGAAATAATTATTTTTGGTATGCTAAAACAACATTAAATTTGCGATAAGATAGTTCTTAAATCATCTTGATATCTCAATTAGTTTTTGAGATATGATTCTTTTAAATTTGGTATTTATGAACTCAAAATGTCAAAATTGAATTTGCAGAAATTAACTTAAATTATCATAACATCGAAATTTATAGGAACGAAGATATGATTTTAACCTCATTAAATATTAATTAAATTTGCTTTAAAATGGTTTTTATTTCATGATGATATCTCAATTCGTTCTTGAGATAAATATGTTTAAATTTTAGTTTTATCAAGATAACCCCAAAAATTGAGTTGAATTAAAAAAATCGTATCATTGTGGTTTATTGAAACGAAATAATTATTTTTGGTATGCTAAAACTAGATTAAATTTGCGATAAGATAGTTCTTAAATCATCTTGATATCTCAATTAGTTTATGAGATATGATTCTTTTAAATTTGGTATTTATGAACTCAATATGTCAAAATTGAATATGCAGAAATTAATTTAAATAATCATAATATCGAAATTTATAGGAATAAAGATATGATTTTTATCTCATTAAATATTAATTAAATTTGCTTTAAAACGGTTTTTATTTCATGATAATATCTCAATTCGTTTTTGAGATAAAAACGTTTAAATCTTAGTTTTATCAAGTTAACCTCAAAAGTTAGAGTTGAATTAAAAAAATCGTATCATTGTGGTTTATTGAAACGAAATAATTATTTTTGGCATGCTAAAACTAGATTAAATTTGCGATGAGATAGTTCTTAAATCATCTTGATATCTCAATTAGTTTTTGAGATATGATTCTTTTAAATTTGGTATTTATGAACTCAATATGTCAAAATTGAATATGCAGAAATTAATTTAAATAATCATAATATCGAAATTTCTAGGAACGAAGATATGATTTTTATATCATTAATTATTAATTAAATTTGCTTTAAAATGGCCTTTATTTCATGGTGATATCTCAATTCGCTCTTGAGTTAAAAATGTTTAAATTTTAGTTTTATCAAGACAACCTCAAAAATTGAGTTGAATTTAAAACATCATATCATTGTGGTTTATAGAAACGAAATAATAATTTTTGGTATGCTAAAACTAGATTAAATTTGCGATAAGATAGTTCTTAAATCATTTCGATATCTCAATTAGTTTTTGAGATATGATTGTTTTAATTTGGCATTTATAAAGATTTTAAACCGGTTTTGGAAGAATTTAATTAATCTTGAATAGTTGTACTAAAATTTAATTTGCATCACTTTAATGTTAACTAAATATAACTACATCAGTGTGATTGTTTAACAAACAAGCGGGACGATGACAAATCCTTGGGAGTTTGTATTCGTTGTTCTTGGACTTTTCGAAAGTTTCTCGTTGAAGTTGAAAGTCTGAGAGAAAAGTAACTTTACAATCCGTGGTCTGTAACGTTCAGGAAGTTAGTACATCGACGTAGCTTTTCTCTTGGTCTTAAGGAAATTTGTCCACGTCAGCCTATAGACAATGTTGGCTCGGAGCCTGCATCGTCTCGGTGCTAACAAATTCCCGATGGGATGGGATAAAGGCCAGAAATCCATCCGGAGCCAGGAACGGAAAAGGGCAATCGGCCCTCGGTCCAAAAATCCGTTTTGATATTTTATGAGGGCCGCGTCTCCCGGCGTAGATTATTTATCGTGCGGGTTCTTTTCAGACAAAATGCCCTAGGTTATAACACGTCCGGTGGTAACACCGCGTGATCGATAGCGTTGCGTTCGTGTGTCTTTCCATTCACGGAGATGAAAGGACCCCTTTTCCGAAATTTACGTCTCGACCTGTTAGAGAAGATCGACGATTTACTACCTCGAAAGTGAAACAGATAACAATTGAAACGGTTCGACTTCGTATAATATCATAAAATAAAGTTTAAATCTATTTATAGGTATCTAATATTTGTTTGAATAGAACGAGGATTCTTGAAGAGAAGTGCAAGCTTAAGGTTCTAATCCAGTACCACACCCGCATTTCATCCTGCCTCAATTTCCTCGCGTCCAAAAGTTTATTGCTGACTCCGTTGCGGCGCCTCGTTATGCCTCGGTTGCGCTTGTTGGCTCAAAAGAACCTGAAGACCTGATGGAAATAGTTCCGCGAACTCAGTTTCGAAGGCAGCGCGCAATCGGTTCCCATAAAAAGAGGGTTATCAGCGGCGGAGTAGGTGTTTTCGGGCGAGTTTTAAATTAGACCGAAGCCTCGTCATTGTTTTGTGGGTACCTGAGTCTGGGGAAAGCAATTTTACCCTCGAATCCCGGAAAATTTGCCTCGAGAACCAACGTTGTATCGTGTCGGTAACGAATTTTCTATTTCTAACCGACCCTTTTCCAACCCAACACGGAAATTTAATCCGTTTTGCTAAATTAAAGGTTTAATGAAGTTAAATTAAGAGACTAGAATTTATAGGGAGTTTATTTTTCTTTAATTTCGTCAATTTTCGACAAGTAACACGTCCCTGCTGTGATTCTAAACGTGAATAACATTAGGTACAATTCAGTCGACACGTGTACTGAATTATTCACCGCATCCCGAGAGTAACAGCGGCTTCTTGTATCACATCCCTTGGGAATGCGGGTCGCTTGTCTCCAAGCTCGTAATTCCCGCTTTCCAGTCTTGCAAGGGATTTTATGCGATTCCTCCAGTTATAAAGATGTCCATCGCTCGATAACATCGACACCTTATTGCTGGATCCTTTTCCCCGGGATACATTGAAAACTATTTACTCTAAATCAATGTGGGACTAAATCAACTAAATAATTAACAGGTAGCATTATTTAGTCCCTTGTAAATTTTCGTTGTAAATGGTTTGCATAAAAGCATGAACCGAAACCGATGTTTTTATGACCTAAAAGTATCATAATAAAATCACCTAATAATAAATAAAATTCAAACATTTTCTAACCGACATAAATATTCGCAAATTTAAATCCCAAATTCCTCCGATGCTTAATTTATTCTCTTGCTGTTGTGAAATTTGAATTACCATTATCATTCCTTTTCTCAATTTCGGTTGATTACTCAAATACCAAGTTGATTCATAAAGTGATTTGCCAACGTTTTCTGCCTAAAACACTTCCTAATTTCATATTTTTATATTAATTGTTATTAATGTTGTTACCTGATACGACATTTCTTGCCCAATTACGCAATAAATGTATAATTGAAAATTATAAGATATCAAATACGGGATGTATCGATATAATTTATCTCCAGAAGGGGGAAAACTAAATGAATCGATGAAATTAATTAATTAATTAAAAATAAATAAATAATTTACCCATCCATATTCATAAAAAATATTCCAAAAACTATCGTTGCTGAAATTGTTGAAACGTGATTAAGTACTTGAAGGGAATAAACGTTGTTTAAATCTTTGATGCATCTAAAAAATTATTATACTATTAATATTAATAATATATAATATATTTACTTTTGACATGTTAAGATTAAAATACCAAATTTAAAAGAATCATATCTCAAAAACTAATCGAGATATCAAGCTGATTTAAGAACTATCTTATAGCAAATTTAATCTAGTTTTAGCATGCCAAAAATAATTATTTCGTTTCAATAAACCACAATGATACGATTTTTTTAATTCAACCCTAATTTTTGAGGTTATCTCGATAAAACTAAAATTTAAACATTTTTATCTCAAGAACGAATTGAGATATTACCATGAAATAAAAACCATTTTAAAGCAAATTTAATTAATAATTAATGATATAAAAATCATATCTTCATTTTTAGAAATTTCGATATTATGATTATTTAAATTAATTTCCGCATATTCAATTTTGACATATTTAGTTCATAAATACTAAATTTAAAAGAATCATATCTGCTAAACTAATTAAGATATCAAGATGATTTAAGAACTATCTTATAGCAAATTTAATCTAGTTTTAGCTTACCAAAAATAATTATTTCGTTTCAATAAACCACAATGATACGATTTTTTTAATTCAACCCTAATTTTTGAGGTTATCTCGATAAAACTAAAATTTAAACATTTTTATCTCAAGAACGAATTGAGATATTACCATGAAATAAAAACCATTTTAAAGCAAATTTAATTAATAATTAATGATATAAAAATCATATCTTCGTTCCTAGAAATTTCGATATTATGATTATTTAAATTAATTTCCGCATATTCAATTTTGACATATTGAGTTCATAAATACCAAATTTAAAAGAGTCATATCTGCTAAACTAATTGAGATATCAAGATGATTTAAGAACTAGCTTATAGCAAATTTAATCTAGTTTTGGCATACCAAAGATAATTATTTCGTTTCAATAAACCGCAATGATACGATTTTTTTAATTCAACCCTAATTTTTGAGGTTATCTCGATAAAACTAAAATTTAAACATATTTATCTCAAGAACGAATTGAGATATTACCATGAAATAAAAACCATGTTAAAGCAAATTTAATTAATAATTAATGATATAAAAATCATATCTTCGTTTCTATAAATTTCGATATTATGATTATTTAAATTAATTTCTGCATATTCAATTTTGACATATTGAGTTCATAAATACCAAATTTAAAAGAATCACATCTTAAAAACTAATTGAGATATCAAGATGATTTAACAACTATCTTATAGCAAATTTAATCTAGTTTTAGTATGCCAAAGATAATTATTTCGTTTCAATAATCCACAATGATACGATTTTTTTAATTCAACTCAATTTTTTGAGGTTAACTTGATAAAATTAAAATTCAAACATTTATATCTCCAGAACAAATTGAGATATTATCATGAAATAAAAACCATTTTAAAGCAAATTTAATTAATATTTAATGAGCTAAAAATCATATCTTCATTCCTATGAATTTTGATGTTATGATTATTTAAATTAATTTCTGCATATTCAATTTTGACATATTGAGTTCATAAATACCAAATTTAAAAGAATCATATCTCATAAACTAATTGAGATATCAAGATGATTTAAGAACTATCTTATAGCAAATTTAATCTAGTTTTAGCATACCAAAAATAATTATTTCCTTTCAATAAACCACAATGATACGATTTTTTTAATTCAACCCTAATTTTTGAGGTTATCTCGATAAAACTAAAATTTAAACATTTTTATCTCAAAAACGAATTGAGATATTACCATGAAATAAAAACCATTTTAAAGCAAATTTAATTAATATTTAATGATATAAAAATCATATCTTCGTTCCTAGAAATTTCGATATTATGATTATTGAAATTAATTCCTCCATATTCAATTTTGACATATTGAGTTCATAAATACCAAATTAAAAAGAATCATATCTCAAAAACTAATTGAGATATCAAGATGATTTAAAAACTAGCTTATAGCAAATTTAATCTAGTTTTAGCATACCAAAAATAATTATTTCGTTTCAATAAACCACAATGATACGATTTTTAATTCAACCCTAATTTTTGAGGTTATCTCGATAAAACTAAAATTTAAACATTTTTATCTCAAAAACGAATTGAGATATTATCATGAAATAAAAACCATTTTAAAGCAAATTTAATTAATAATTAATGATATAAAAATCATATCTTTATTCTTAGAAATTTCGATATTATGATTATTTAAGTTAATTTCTGCAAATTCAATTTTGACATATTGAGTTCATAAATACCAAATTTAAAAGAGTCATATCTGCTAAACTAATTGAGATATCAAGATGATTTAAGAACTATTTTATAGCAAATTTAATCTAGTTTTAACATACCAAAAATAAATATTTCGTTTCAATAAACCACAATGATACGATTTTTTTAATTCAACCCTAATTTTTGAGGTTATCTCGATAAAACTAAAATTTAAACATTTTTATCTCATGAACGAATTAAAATATTATCATGAAATAAAAACCATTTTAAAGCAAATTTAATTAATATTTAATGAGCTAAAAATCATATCTTCATTCCTATAAATTTCGATGGTATGATTATTTAAATTAATGCACTTTTGACATGTTGAGTTCATAAATACCTAATTTAAAAGAATCATATCTCATAAACTAATTGAGATATCAAGATGATTTAAGAACTATTTTATAGCAAATTTAATCTAGTTTTAGCACACCAAAGATAATTATTTCGTTTCAATAAACCACAATGATACGATTTTTTTAATTCAACCCTAATTTTTGAGGTTATCTCGATAAAACTAAAATTTAAACATTTTTATCTCATGAACGAATTAAAATATTATCATGAAATAAAAACCATTTTAAAGCAAATTTAATTAATATTTAATGAGCTAAAAATCATATCTTCATTCCTATAAATTTCGATGGTATGATTATTTAAATTAATGCACTTTTGACATGTTGAGTTCATAAATACCTAATTTAAAAGAATCATATCTCATAAACTAATTGAGATATCAAGATGATTTAAGAACTATTTTATAGCAAATTTAATCTAGTTTTAGCACACCAAAGATAATTATTTCGTTTCAATAAACCACAATGATACGATTTTTTTAATTCAACCCTAATTTTTGAGGTTATCTCGATAAAACTAAAATTTAAACATTTTTATCTCAAGAACGAATTGAGATATTACCATGAAATAAAAACCATTTTAAAGCAAATTTAATTAATAATTAATGATATAAAAATCATATCTTCGTTCCTATAAATTTTGATGTTATGATTATTTAAGTTAATTTCTGCATATTCAATTTTGACATATTGAGTTCATAAATACCAAATTTAAAAGTCATATCTGCTAAACTAATTGAGATATCAAGATGATTTAAAAACTAGCTTATAGCAAATTTAATCTAGTTTTAGCATACCAAAAATAATTATTTCCTTTCAATAAACCACAATGATACGATTTTTTTAATTCAACCCTAATTTTTGAGGTTATCTCGATAAAACTAAAATTTAAACATTTTTATCTCAAAAACGAATTGAGATATTACCATGAAATAAAAACCATTTTAAAGCAAATTTAATTAATAATTAATGATATAAAAATCATATCTTCGTTCCTATAAATTTCGATATTATGATTATTTAAATTAATTTCTGCATATTCAATTTTGACATATTGAGTTCATAAATACCAAATTTAAAAGAATCATATCTCATAAACTAATTGAGATATCAAGATGATTTAACAACTATCTTATAGCAAATTTAACCTAGTTTTAGCATGCCAAAAATAATTATTTCGTTTCAATAAACCACAATGATACGATTTTTTTAATTCAACCCTAATTTTTGAGGTTATTTCGATAAAACTAAAATTTAAACATTTTTATCTCAAGAACGAATTGAGATATTATCATGAAATAAAAACCATTTTAAAGCAAATTTAATTAATAATTAATGATATAAAAATCATATCTTCGTTCCTATAAATTTCGATATTATGATTATTTAAATTAATTTCTGCATATTCAATTTTGACATATTGAGTTCATAAATACCAAATTTAAAAGAATCATATCTCATAAACTAATTGAGATATCAAGATGATTTAAGAACTATCTTATAGCAAATTTAATCTAGTTTTAGCATACCAAAAATAATTATTTCGTTTCAATAAACCACAATGATACGATTTTTTTAATTCAACCCTAATTTTTGAGGTTATCTCGATAAAACTAAAATTTAAACATTTTTATCTCTAGAACGGATTGAGATATTACCATGAAATAAAAACCATTTTAAAGCAAATTTAATTAATAATTAATGATATAAAAATCATATCTTCGTTCCTAGAAATTTCGATATTATGATTATTTAAATTAATTTCCGCATATTCAATTTTGACATATTGAGTTCATAAATACCAAATTTAAAAGAATCATATCTCATAAACTAATTGAGATATCAAGATGATTTAAGAACTATCTTATCGCAAATTTAATCTAGTTTTAGCATACCAAAAATAATTATTTCGTTTTAATAAACCACAATGATACGATTTTTTTAATTCAACTCAATTTTTGGGGTTATCTTGATAAAACTAAAATTTAAACATATTTATCTCAAGAACGAATTGAGATATTACCATGAAATAAAAACCATTTTAAAGCAAATTTAATTAATAATTAATGATATAAAAATCATATCTTCGCTCCTAGAAATTTCAATATTATGATTATTTAAATTAATTCCACCATATTCAATTTTGACATATTGAGTTCATAAATACCAAATTTAAAGGAATCATATCTCATAAACTAATTGAGATATCAAGATGATTTAAGAACTATTTTATAGCAAATTTAATCTAGTTTTAGCATGCCAAAAATTATTATTTTGTTTCTATAAACCACAATAATACGATTTCTTTAATTCAACTTTAACCGTTATTATTAAATCCATTATATCGAGATTTTACTGAAAAAAAGAATTTGTATCAACTTACCGTAACAAAAAATTGTGATGTTTAACAAGTTTAAAAAATTCCGTTAAAATATTAGGATCGTCTTGATTACTATCTTCCAAAACTCGAAGATTATTAAATCCAAATTTAATTTTTTCCAACTCGCAATAAATGTTGAACAAAAATGAGAAAAAAATAAAATCAAAAACGACCACGGCAAAAGCAAGAATGGCGATGTACAAAGATTGAGCAACAATGATAGAAACGTAACAAAAATTATCGTGGTAATCACAAGGAATATACCAAGCCGTTGCAAAGCTCCTAGATAATGTTAATAAAGGTTTGCTTATGTATGTAATTGTTGTTATCCAAATAGTAGCTCGATACGCAATAAAGGTTCTTTTAAAACTTGCTTGATAAGTTTGTATTTTCAATTCAAGTTCGCTTCCGTAGATGTTATTTGGCCACATTTGATCCATTTTGGCAAAAAGTTTTTGGAACCGGTCGTGGATGAGTATAACGGCAAATACCTTTACAAGGACCTGTTGTCCGGCCGGAATCGCGTCTACGGAATCGGCCAAGGACTTGATTCCTTCGTACCTTACTATTACTCCGGCTACGTTCAGAATGTACATTACGAGAAAGGTTGAGGAAAATACGAAAGCTCTGACGTAACCGAATCCACTTTTCCTAAAAGGATGCAACCCGATTAAATCGAGAGCGTAAAGCCCGGATTCCATAACAAAATCGTGAGGCATTGCGAACTAATTTACTTCTAACCCCCGCTTCAATAAAATTCCCACTTTTATATCCTTCATTATAACGTAAAATTATAATGCAATTTCAAGTTAAATTTTAATCACTTCACCTAAAACGTCAAGCACCACAAACGGGTACGTATAATTAAAATTTTTCCTCAAACGCGTTTTGCATATTAGGTAGTAAAAGTTTTCAATATTTGATGTCGAAGTCGACTTGTGTTCACGACAGGTTTCAACTTTTCAACAATCAGCTACACGAGCTAATGCAAAACGGTTACCTATATTGGATATTGCACGGATCGATTTGAAACGAGCAAATTTTGAAACTAACACAACACCAGCTGTATATTTTAATTTCGTAGTTTAATTTAAACTCAACTAAACAAAATTGTAAATACGCACAAAAAAAGCAACGTGGTTCTGTATTATTTTATATATTCTTTTTTATAGTTTAGTTGTGATTTTAGCTATATTGCAAATATTTGTTAGTAATTTAGAGATTCATCGATCGTATGCAAATATACACGGTATTAGGCGGTATACATGTATTATTAGGAATGTATGCTTATACTATTAGGAACTTGTTTGTTTACTTAATTAATTTGTTAATATGAAAAATTTATTTATGCAAAATATGTGAGAACAGGTTGTAACAGTAGCAATAACCTTAGAACACATAAGGTGTTGCGTACATAACACTAGATATAGAACTAGAAACATTCGGGTTTAGCCATGCGTCTCACAAGTGACTGCTACATCCATTGTTGTTTTGTAGCCCACTACGGGTTGGTTGCCCGCTCTCTACGTCACACTATTTGCCACGCCCAGTTAACTGTCATTGCGTTCTATGCGTTTGCTGTGTGTTTTTAGAGGTTTTATGATACACATTTGATTTACTTTTGAAATTAATATGAATACATCTAGGATAGAACTTCTAAAAATACACAGCAAACGCATAGAACACAATAACAGCTGATTGGGCGTGGAAAATGCTGTTAGATTCTACTATCCTTGCGACAAAGTAATTAGGTACGCTCTGGTTTCTATGGAAATATATTTTTGTATATTGCATGTTAAGGAAGTTCACTGTAAATCTTCTGACAACGTTATGACAACATTATTTCAACGTCAGATGATAGCTGAATAACTTTCGAGATTAAGAACATTAAGATTGGAACTCCAACGTGCATTTTGTACTGATACTCATCATCTACTGCCCTCCGTAGATTAGATAAACCTGATTCCTGATTCAGTAGAAGCATCTTATCAATTTCTAGGTCTGACCATTTCTCGTCTGACCATTTCTAGGTCCAGAAAAGGAAGCTCTAGCCGACACCTGGGCTTCCGAACGTCTTGAACAGTTTCTGATTGATACAGAATTCTTAATTCTAACCGACCACAAACCACTGATTGTATTATTGGCAACAAAGGAGATCAGCAAGTTATCAAATCGACTTCAAAGATTCCGAATGCGGTTACTTAAATTTAATTATCGAATTGAGTATGGTCCAGGAAAATCATTCCATGTACCAGATGCCTTATCCAGAGCCCCACTTCAACAAGGAACAACAGACCTGGATGCTCTGTTAATGGATGAAGTATATATCAGCTCAGTAATAAAAGAGGTTGATGGGTTTGTCCTGAAAGAACGATCGGAGAAGAATAAGATAAGGAGATGGAAAAAGAAAACATTAAAACCTATTGATAAAGAAATATTAATCTATAAAGACCGATTGGTAATACCAAAAACCCTAAGAAAGAGATGCTTAAACCTATTACACGACGGACATTTTGGGATGGGTAAATGCAAAGCCAGAGCGAAACAAAGTTTATGGTGGCCTGGAATTCATCAACAGATCGACGAAATGATTCACAATTGCGAAATATGTCTACAAACAAAACCAACAGCAATGGAACCGATGATATCTAGGGAGATCTCAGGAAGACCTTGTTGGAGTAGATTCAGATATGTAGTAATTCAGGATTATTATTCAAAATACCCTGAGGTGAGAAAACTAACATCTATAAAAAGTAGAGACATAATTGAAGTAATGAAAGATGTATTTGCCCGACATGGCATACCGGATGTTGTAAGATCCGATAATGGTCCACAAGTCAATTGGCAATTTGCAGAAAAGTATGGATTCAAGTGGACATCATCCAGTCCAGAATATCGACAGTCAAACGGATTGGATGAGAGCGCTGTCAAAACATTAAAGACAATTTTAAAAAGATCCCTATTTAGGTTTTTTGGCGTATCGCAACTCAACATTGACTTCTCCAGAACAGCTGTTGTTTGGACGAAACCTTCGCGACAGAATACCAATATCGAAAAACAAATTAAATCCGAAATTACCCAATCATGACCAAATAAGAAAAAACCTGGAAGAGGAGAAAAGAAAACAAAAATATAATTATGATCGACGACATAGAATAATGGAAAGGGAAGATTATAAGATCGGCGACAGAGTGTGGATTATAGACAAGAAAAGAGAAGGTAAACCAAGATCTTACACGGTAGAGCCTGATGGTGGAAAAGAAATAAGACATAACCCAAAACATTTAACGAAACTACCCAAAGCAAGAGAAGACTATAAACAAGAGGAAGCTTTTAAGATAAGCCTTTAACCGAAAATACAAGAAGTACAAGAAACAGTAGATGTAGTGTAGTTAGTATTATGGGTTGGCAACATTGGGGGTTGACAGTTATAAGGTTATGAAAAAGAAGACTTGTAACGGTTTTGTGTAGTGTAAAAACGATTCATTTGGCGAGACATTATCTGGTGCAACGAGCATCACTCAGACAACCCAGATGCAGTTGAAAAGTTTTCCTGCATTCATCGCAGCGGTGCAAGTCTCCATACTTTTTATGGTCCTCCATAGCGAACCCAGCGCTTTTATCTATAAAGTAGACTGTTAGATCATAATCAACGTATTTATACCCAGAAAAAGTTTATGATGTAGACTTCAATTTAGTAATTCATCAGTTTCACGAAACGTGAAACACATCTTGTGCCTTTCTTTGATCAACCATGAAATGAAATTATCTTATATGGTAATGTAATGATTTTCTACTACTTTACAGATTAATATTCATGAATATTAATTAATTGTACACTGTGTTAATTAATTATCGTACTCGACGTCATCATTGCGAGTATGCAACCAATATTACAGAATTGGTATTGCAATAATCAAATCGCGTATTGTGTTGCATACTATATATACAGGGTGCCCATTATGTATGGAATATTGTATATATCTTGGCAAGTATCAACTTTATAAAAAAACATTTTATACAAAAGTTGGTAAGTATTTTATTTGCCATAATAAGACACCATTCAATTGTTTTTATTTCAGAAAACAAATGAGCAACGAATAACATTTAATTTTTTTAAAATGGCAATGTACCCTTTTATTAGGCTTATTTGATAGAGATTTCTTTTCTCTTTATGATGACGTAAAATTTTTGTACCCTTACATCAGAAAATTTTTGCATAAAATGTAAAAATTGTTTATTAAGAAAATTTAACCAATAACATTAATCTAGATATCCGAGATCGTCAACTACCTCGAATTATTACCGTAAATTAAATCTACATACAAAATAAAACAAATAAACTAAAAATTAGTGTAAATGAAAATTATTAAACTTTGAAGACAAAACGAAATTAGCACTAAAATGGTTTTCACGACAATAAATGTTCAAAATGTTCACCATTAACTGCAAGGCAGTGGCCCAATCTATCATAAAAGGCTTGAAAAGAATTTCTTAGCGATCTGGGAGAAATAGCTGCAGCTTCATCTTTTATTCGTTGCTCTAATTCTGTCAGATTTTGAGGTCGGTTTACATAAACTTTAGATTTTAAATATCCCCAGAAGAAGAAATCGCAAGGTGTAAGATCCGGAGATCGGGGTGGCCACTCTACAGACCCTCTTCTGCCTATCCAACGGGCCGGAAATACCGTATCTAAATATCGGCGTACATCTAAATGATAGTGGGGCGGTGCCCCATCTTGTTGAAACCAAAGATCATCAAGATTTTCTTGGCAAGCTGGGATAATTTGCTGTTGCAATAATTGTAAATAACGGTGACCAGTTAGAGTACCTCGAATAAAGAAAGGTCCAATTATGTGATCTGCACAAATTCCCACCCATACGTTTAATTTCTGTGGTGTTTGAGTATGATTTTGAATCATCCAATGGGGATTTTTAGCGGCCCAATATCGAGAATTTTGCTTATTTACATTACCATTTAAACAAAACGTAGCCTCGTCAGAGAAAACCATATTATTGAGAAAATTTGGATTGCTGTTGATTCGCTCCATCATAAATTCACAAAATTCAACACGTCGACCGTAGTCATCTTCGGATAATTCTTGCAATAAAGTCGGTTTGTACGGATGTAAATTTTCTGCATGTAATATTTTGTGTATTGAACCTTTACTTAGAGCATGGTTTAAACATAACTGACGAGTTGAAATGTTTGGATTTTCTTCGATTTCTATGAGAATATCGATCTTTTTATCTTCATCTGTTGCAGATCTCTGCGGACCAGTCTTTGGCAGATCTTTAACGTTACCAGTTTCCCTAAAACGTTTCGAAGTTTTGCTAACTACTGATTGAGTGATTGGTTCTCGATGTGGATAACGCTCATTGAAAATTTCACATACTTCTAATTGTGTTAGTTTGCGATCCCCATAACCGACCATAATTAAAATTTCTATGCGTTCAGTTTCTGTTAAATGAACCATTTTTCTTTTTTGATCTACCAACTTATTTAAATAAACAAGATTCTGTCACATTCAATAGCTTACATTCAATTGTTAGGACAAATAAGATTTCGGATATCTAGATTCATGTTATTGGCAAAATTAACTTAATAAACTGTTCTTACATTTTTTTCAAAAATTTTCTAGTATAAGGGTACTAAAATTTTACGTCATCGTAAAGAGAAAAAAAATCTCTATCAAATGAGCCTAACGAAAGGGTACATTGCCATTTAAAAAAAATTAAATGTTATTCGTTGCTCATTTGTTTTCTGAAATAAAAAAATTGAATGGCGTCTTATTATGGCAAATCAAATATTAAACAACTTTTGTATAAAATGTTTTTTTGTAAAGTTGCTACTTACCACGATATATGCTATATTCCATACATAATGGGCACCCTGTATATTAAATCCATGATATAAAAGATTTCTGTAATATTTCTTTTACTATTTGATGAATAGTGGACATTTGTAGTTTAGAAAGTCTTTTTAAGAAAATGCGATTTATATCTTGCAAATGGCATTTTAAAACTTCCAATCCAGAAGGATTTATAGCTCGTCAGTTCGCCTGCTGCGGAAACATGTCACTGGAGGCGGTAAAAACGTTAGGTCAACGTAGTACGTTGTATATGTATATGTTACTGTTGGTACAACCGTTCGCGTTTAATACATATGTATTGGATGGCGTGTCAACGCTGAGGTTTTAATTGCGACGTTGTACCGGAAGTGTATCGATTCTAAACGAAGAGTGGGATGGGAAAATGGGTCGGGTAAAAGGTGAAAAGCGATAATTCAAAAAGGGGGCGGAGGTCACTTTATATTTCTTGACTGTACAGCCCTAACGCAATATAACGGGCACGGTCTGGTCTGGTTTCGCGGTGCCGAAGAGGTTCGGATAACATTTCCCGGGGACGTTTATTCCGGAACGTCCTCACGTGCAGGCGGTTTGGCTAACTTTGGAGTCACGTCATAAATTCAATACGTCGCGTCCGGCCTTTCCAGACGATCCGAGACGAGTCTCGATTGTTTAAGAACAAAAATATAGGGATTAAAATAACCCAATTTAACTTTTTATGCCAAAGTCGAAGAAGGGCTCAAATATTATATAACTCAGAGATTCAATTTGCTACGGCATTGAGTTATAAAAATTAAATGGATAGCGGCTATTAGCAAGCGCGAACGCTATTGCCATAACGGCCCTAAAATATGTTAGCAACCGAGGGTCTCCGAACGCGAAATCCCTATATTAGCGTCAGAATTTAACGCGGCATAATTTAATTTGCATACGGAACGCGGCCTCGCGAAAGTAAGAACTCACCCCCCGCGCACTAAACTGAAATTAGCCTTCTGAATAGTGCCTACGTTGAAAAACCTTGAAAAGTCTGAAAGAAGGAGATTACGTTTAATTTGGCGGGGGCGGCACCCTCCGAACGGCGAAAATCGCCGATGTTAACCCTGAAGGGGGTTTTATTAAATTTTCTTCGCTCTAATATTTATTCTCTACCCATGCTACCGATGGATTTCTTGAGGGTTATTACTTTAGACCTTCGAGGGCGCACTTCAATTATGTTTAGTCCGGTTTAAAAATTAAATTATAACGAAATGACAGTGATTTGAATCAACTTTTTTTAAACATAAAAAAGATTAAATCAATTTAGGTTTGAAAATTAAAGTAAAAGCCTCGGCTGCGTGTTTCAAAGATAGCGGGATACAGGAAAAGGTTATTGGTGTGTCTCAAAATGGCACTAAGTCATTAGAAATATCTTAAAATTATATGATAAAAGCAAAGCAGGTAAATACTATTAAATATATAGCTTTCCAGAAAAATCAAAGATTTTTCACTTCGGGAAAAAGTGATTGCGAAAAGCCGGATATCTAGTGCATTTCTGAAGTGATGAAGAAAGCTGATAAGATATGATTCAAGATACAAAATGAACTTTTTTGATGTTGATTTAACTAACGAAGCAACTCTAAAAAGAGGATAATTTAAATTTTCTCAAAACTTCAAATATTGTTTTCTCAAAAACGAAGTTATTTTTCAAAACGTGTTGGTTCATTGGAAAGAGGACACTTTTATTAACATTTTGACAAACTTTCAAAGTCATATTCCAAGAAATGAATTTTATACGAATTTTTAAAACTTAATTGGCGAAAATTGCAAAATTCGAAAAAATTGTTGATTATTTAAAAAATTTATTTCTCAAGAACTAAAAGTGATTTTTCAAAACGGCTTTTTGCATTAAAAAGAGGATACTTTAATTAATAATTGGTGATATTTCCACAAGGATCCTTCAAGCAATTAATTTTATAGCGAATTTTGAAGATCATCGATGAAAATTGCAACATCGATAATTTTATCAAAACTTCAAATATTGTTTTCTCAAAAACTAAAAGTTATTTCTCAAAACGGGTTGGTTCATTGGAAAGAGGACATTCTTCTTAACACTTTGGGAAATTTTCATACTCATATTCCAAGAAATGGATTTTATACACATTTTTAAAACTTAATCGACTAAAATTGCAAAATTCGAATAAATTGTCGATTATTTCAAAAATTTATTTCTCAAGAAGTAAAAGTAATTTTTCAAAACGGCT